ACCCCGGCTCCCTGGGGGCCATCTCTCGGGGAGGGCTGTGACCCCGCAGCCCCCCGCTGCCATCACCCACTGGGTTTTGGCTCCCGAAGCGAATTTGCCAGGCTCCCTCCAGGGAGCTTAGCACCGGTTCAGGATGACGATGCCACCCCCTCCCGTCTCCCGCACGCCTTTTTGGATTACATTAGCGTCAAGGAAATATTTTAGCTGCTGGAAAGTATGAAAAGCAAAGTGTCTGGAGTGGGGGATTAAATGCTCATGGGTTGATTTATTCATAAAAGCAAAGCGAGAGGAGCAGGAAGCCTGTCTGGCAATTTTGGGGCTGGGGGAAGGGGGGGAATTGGCTGTTGTTATGCTCCGGAGATGTGCTGCAGCCATCGGGGCGGCTTCGATGCTTCTTCCACCCCTTCCCTGTCCCCCTCGCAAGGGGCTGGAGCAGCGTAAGCAATGAGCTGCTGGCCCCCCCCGGGACCCCCAACCCCAACCTGGAGCCCAAACGATGGATGTAAATGAGCTGTTAGTGTTGTTTCTCGCTAACAAGGCTGAGGCAGAGGGCTGCTAATTGCCCGTGGGGAGAGCGGAGGGATTACCTTCCCTTTCTGGAAAGGTAAGCGTGGAGGATGGAGATGTGTGCTGCTCTGGTTGCTGGTGCCCTCGGTGGGCAGCGTGCCGGGACCGTGGGGGGCCGGTGGCACCGTCAGCAAGCATCGCATGGGGCTTTGCGCTCCCAGACATGGAACAGAGCATCCCCGGGCTGGAGGTGAGGATGCTCTGCAGATGCCGGAGCCTGCCCTGTGGAAACCACAGCCTGCAGGGAAGAAGGAGGAGGTTCCAGTTGGGAAACCAGCCCCACGCTGTGTTTCTGCACCAACCCAAGAGGCGGGTGGGTGTCAGACCCCCGGACTCAGCCCACGCTGCACGGCACGGAGTGGGTTTGCAGCAGCGTTGCCTTCCCCATCACCCTCCTCCTCTGCCCCTGACCTTCCAAGAGGCCAGGCAGAGCCTGCTGAGGGGACGGCTGGTGGCACCAGGTCTCCCAGCACGGTCCCTTCCCCGGCTCCTTGGCCCCCATTTCCTTCTCGCCTCATGAAATTTTCATATTTGTGCTTTATTAATGAGCTCCCCAGAAACCCTGCACTTTCAAGCAGCGGCTCTATTAAAATGCATCCAGGTCCCTGCAGGTCTCGGGAAGGGCAGGAGCGATGCTCCGGAGGATTAGACAATAAGCCAGCACTTTGCACGGATCCCACGCTTGTGCCGGAGAACCGCCGCGCTGGCTGTTAACCGCTTGCAGGGCTCGGAGCTGGGGCGGCTGCCGGCATACCCCGGTGCAGAGAGGGCTCGGTGCATCCCCCCCAAACCCAGGAGCTGCTCTGGGCAAGGAGAAAAAGCAAGCCGTACGTCCCCCAATCTCTTCAAGCATCTTTTTCCCCTTCTGCTCGTCTGACAACAGTGTCATGAGCTGTCTCCATCCTCAGCCCTCAGCTGGAGGGACTCGGGCTGCAAAATGGCAATCGCTGCCCCATCCCATCTTTGGGGTTTGGCTGCACAGGGGGGATGTGAAGCCCCAAAGGACTTGACTTCACCTCCTTTCCCCCATCTCATGGCTTTATTCCTAGCGGGGTTTACAGCCCGTTTTTGCAGGAGGAGCAGGGAGGAGGATTCTCCCCTCCCGGTGCAGCACCGATTCCTGCTCCGACCATCCGTCAGCTCAAACATCTCTCTTAGCTCAGGCAACCTTCTTGCCTCTTGCGCTATTTTTCAAGGCAGATCTACTTATAAATCATATCTCGCAAGAAGTATTCCCTTTACGTACGTCTTACTGAACTCCCCCGTCCCCGGAAGATCTCCGCGGGGGGTGTTCATCACTGGGATGACACATTTGGCATTTCCAGGGCTCTCTCTGAACAGTTTTATCCCTGCCCTGGCTCTGGGGTCTCACGGCATCTCACGGGGGGGTGCTGACCCTGAAGGGACCCCACAGTTGTCACAGCACCGGTCGGGACTGGTGGTACCCAGACCCCAGCAGCTGCAAATGCCCCCCAAGGGCAGCGGGATGTGGGTTGGGTTTGCATGGGATGGCACCGGGGGAGGGGGGCTTCCAGCTTCACCTTTTAATCAGGACCCCTTAACGAAGGCAATGCCGTGTTGATGCCTCCCAGCTCGAAGGCTTACACCGAGTTGGATAAAATCATGAGAAAATGAGACAAAGTTGGGTCCTGTGCTGCAAACGATGCCCCAAAACGCTGCTGGCTCCAGGGCCACCCTGGGGGGCAGCTGGGGGAGGCAGAGGGAGGCCGAGGACGATGCTGGCCTGGGCAGCTGCTTGCCATTTGCTAATTAGCAGGGCCCTACAAATAAGTCTGGTAGGAAACCCTCCTCGGTGCTGTCCTTTGCCTTTGCCAGCGGAAGCTGGGAGAGAATGGAGGAATCCAGGGACTTGGCTGGGCTGCGGAGGGGAGGAAATTAGGGACGAGATGATCGGTGCAGTCAGGTGGCTTCTAAAATAGCACCTGGGCTGCCAAGGGTGATCCATCATTTTGACAAAAAAAAGAAAAAGAAAATTCAGCTTTTGGTCCCGTGTAGTGGTTTGGCTTCGTCCGTCCTCTCCGTTTGCTGATGGCTGGGATTCCTGGGGCTTTTTTTAGGGTTGCCGCTCCCGTGGCACCTTTTTCCCCCCCGTCCCTGGCTGGGCAGTGCCTAGCCCTGGGGGGGGGGGTGGCTGGGGGTGACCCAGTTTTGGGTAGCCCCAGGAGAAGATGTGGAGGCCAACAGGGTCCTTTGCAGCTCGACAGATTATTCTGCTTTGGAGCAGGCTGAATAATTAATAATTATTCTTTGAATAATTGACAAGGAAAAAAATATTGCAAATTCATGGCATGAATTATGCACTGGAAACTGTTTGACCAGGTCCCCCCGCTGCAATCGGTGTGCGTTAACCCTTTCCGTGCTGGAGGAGGACCTCCAAATCGTGCAAGGCGATGGGGGGGGACACACCATAGGGGTGCATCCAGCCCCCTCCCCACTGCCAGCAGGGCAGGGACGGGCGATGCCGGGGGGTGAGACCAACGCCAGCCCCCTTTCCCATAGCATCTCCCCAGGTTGAGGACATCTCCCCATCCTTCAATCCCAATGCTCATCCCTTCTCCTTCTTACTCTCCGGGCAGGAATGGACCCTGCAGCCAACTCCAAAAGCAACCACTGCCTCGACGCAGCCAAAGCCTGCAACCTGAACGACAACTGCAAACGCCTGCGCTCGGGCTACATCTCCACCTGCAGCAAAGAGGTCTCGGCCACCGAGCACTGCAGCCGAAGGAAATGCCACAAAGCCCTCCGCCAATTCTTCGACCGCGTCCCCAGCGAGTACACCTATCGCCTCCTCTTCTGCTCCTGCAAGGACCAGGCTTGTGCCGAGCGTCGGCGACAAACCATCGTCCCCTCCTGCTCCTACGAGGATAAGGAGAAGCCCAACTGCTTGGATCTGCGGAACACGTGCCGGACGGATCACCTCTGCCGGTAAGGGCTGCGCTGGGCTCTGCCTGGGCTTTTCCCAGTCCTTCCCGGTGCCGGAGAGGGACCTGCAAACCGTAGCAGAGGTTTTGTGTGGGACCATGGCCGGGTTTGCGATGCTCTCTTGTTGTATGACCCTATTCCAAGTTTATTTGTTGCCTTTTCCCAATGCCGTGTGATGCTTGCCGGCTGGGTCTCCTCCGGTAACGGTTGTATTTAGTGCGTAAAATGGGGCAGAGTTAATGAGTTTTGGTTGCTCCTGGAGAGGCTGAGGTGTGGCTTCCAGTTTAGTCCCCTGTTGTTGTGGGGTGAACCTGGGGGGGCTGCGTGTGGTTTGCAAGCACGGGGGCTGCCAACCGAGCTCTGATCAGAACCCCCAATGCCAAAACCACGGCTCTGCCCTTCTCCGTGCTCGGCCCGGGAGGCTGCGATGGGGCAATGCCCTCCGGATGGGGTAGAGATGTGGGGCAGAACCAGAACGGTGGGGACAGAGCTGCCTTTCTGCTGGGAACAGTGGAGCTGAGTCCCTGGGGATGGTGCTGGCTCTGTTCCCCACCCGGGACCGCTCCGTCTCGGTGCAAAAGGCACCTTGGCAGCGGGGGTACCCGTGCCCTGCAAGTGGCAAAATCCCTCGATGTGCTTTCAGCATCCCCAGCGAAACTTCGTGACTGGTGAAATCCGCTCTTTTCCTCGTGGCAGAGCAAAGTCGGGAGATCAGGTTTTTGTTCTGTTATGAAACTCATTATTCACACTGCAAAAAAAAAAACTCCAGGGGCTGGATCAGCCTCATAAAGAATATGTTTCCTACGAGGAGGAGGGTCTTTTTGCCATCAAGGTGATGGAGTTTCCCAGAGCCTGGTGGCGAAATAAATAAATAACACAGCTTCAGGTCTTCCTCTGGCTGCAAGTGAATGTGTTTGAAATGGGGGAATGTGGCTTTTTATCAAAAAGTAATACAGTAAGCCAATGTCTATGAATAAAAGATACCAGAATTGCTCCGAGTTGCGGCCAAATTAATGGTAGCACCTCTCCGTCGGCAGGCCTGATGCTTGCTAAGACGTTAAATGCTGCGGATGCATCCGCTCACGGAGGGGAATAACCTGCATTAGCAGCGCGTTGGAGGGGACCGGAGAGGCCACGGAGCTGCTGAGCATTAATTATAAACCCATTCCTGCATGAAATGAAATTCTGCCAGAAAGAGGTGAAGCAGCAAAAGGGGAAGCGTGTGGCAGCTGCTTTGGGTGGTTGCTCCAAGTTGGAAATGTATTTTTCCGGCAGTAGCGTGGATGCTGCTCGGCTGGGGAGAGGCAGCCCCGACCCGGGGGCTCTCGCTCTGCAAAGCATCCAAATCCGACATTTATTTATGCATCTGGCCTTGGGCATTGGTTTGCAGAGTTTTACCTTAACCTGGGCTGTTCGCTCCCCGTCGTGGGACGTTTCGGAGCTGTGCGTGGGTACGCTCCTCAGATGGGGGCTTGCAAGAGAAAGTCCCGTCCCATCTGCTCCTCTCCCGCAGCTCTGCCCCGGGGGGGCTCTGGCTGCGTTCCCCAAGGTTCAGGAGGGTGGGTTTGCTCCAAGCCCCCCGTTAAAAGCGGTTACATCATTAACCAGGCTGTGGCACTGGGATGCAAGAGGGGTTAAAAGCCTGCAGCGGGGAGCCGGCACCCAGGGATGCTCTGAGATGCTGCCACGCTCAGCAGCTCACTTGACCTCCTTGTGTTTGCAACTGCGAAAGTGTTTCGAAGCGGTGACCTACCGGGGGTGAGCCGTGCCCAGCACCGGAGCTGACGGGAGGAAAAAATAAGAATTTTTCTCTATGTTGTATTGCAAATGAGAGAGGGTCTGGCTTTTCTCTGTCGGGCTTTTGGGATGGAGGTGGCTCTGGCAAAGCCTTCTGGCAGGGGCTGTGTGTGCACGGTGCTTTCCCTGGGAGGGGGTACGCACGCAGGATGCTGTTTATGGTCCTTGCTGCTATTTCCCACCCCTCCATCTCCGTCTGGAAGTCTCCTGCTGGCACATCTTCCCCGGGGATGAAGGAATGGTCCTGCACACATGGGCATCACATCCCCTGGTCCATGGGGAAAGGATGTGGAGGAGAGCTGGTCAAGGAAAACCATCATCAGCAAGAGTTTTGTGTGACAGCCTGCTGCCCTGCCCGCTTGGCATCAACTGCCTGGCTGTCCAGCGGCCGTGAGTCCGTCCACCTCGGCGTTGCCCCAAACACGGGCAGGGAGTCTTGGCTCCCATTGCTGTGGGTCTAATTTCCCAACGTAGAGCTGGGCATGGAGTCACCTGCCAGCTGAAGCCCTTCTCCCACAGCCTCATCTCCTCCTCCGTGCACATCCGTGGTGTTTCCCAGCTGCTCCAGGCCGAGAGCACCTTGTGAACTTGGAAAACCCAGACTCAGGAGCTGAATGAAACCTGGGCTGTCTAACCACCCCATGAGTAATGTAAAAACTCCTCCAGCAGCTGCTGCTTGTGCTTCGTCGGAGGGCTTGGACCGAGGCGGAGGTGCTGTGTATTTAGGGTGGGTTTGGCTTGGAGCAAGGGGGTCTCATTCAGCAGCGGTGCAGAGGGTCCTGCTGTGGGCTCTGGGCTTGGAGCTGCTACACAGACAGGGCGGGGCATCGACAGACGCTGGTGCATGGCTCCAGGACCCCTCGAGATGCTGCTGGTCCAGCTCCGGGCTAGCTGCTTTCTGCAAAAGCCCAGAGAGGGGGTTGCATCCATGTGTAGGTGAATTGGTTGGTTGGACGGCGTCCCCTTTGCTGAGCGGCTCTGGGCTTGTTTTGCAGGGATGGGGTGGTCTGCAGGGCTGGCCGGGGCTGGGGGGGGGGTCTCCTCTGGGGGGGGGCTCTCCTCTCCCTCTCCTGCCTCTCCAAGGCTCTCTGCGTTTATAAATAACAAAGCATTGGCAGGCAGCCGCTGCCAAGCTCATCACCAGGTGCCGGGAAAATGTATAAATAGAGTGTGCAGGCTTTGTCCTCCTTTTCACGGCACCTACACCCACCAACTTCCACCCAAGAAACCCCTCCGTGTCCCTTCATCCCAAGCCCCTGCCTGCGGGCAAGGCAAGGCTAGGCTCTGCCATGGGATCTCCCGTCGATGCCTGTGCTTATCAGATGGGTATCACCGAGGGATGCTCATCCTCCTCATCCGCACGCGGGACTTGGCAAGGGCATTGATCTCAGAAGCAGATCGACAAGCTGCTCCGAAACCCAGCGGTGGCAGGAGATGAGATAATATTCCCGCATGGGCTGCGAGCGTAATTAAGCCTCCTGGCTGAACGCCTAATGAACAGCAAAGCCCTCTCCACCGGGATAGGACTTTGCGGGGAGATTTTTGCTGTCATCTCGCTGTGGTCAGTGCTGAACTGGGCACGGAGGAGGGGGGCTGCACCTCGCAGGGGCTGCTACCCCTACAAGACACGACCCACCCTGAGATGGGGTTGCTTCCTTCCCAAAAGAAGCAGAGGCGATGGAGGAGAGGGCAAATTAATAGTCCAGCATGGAAAAGAGTCATTCCAGAGGTTTTCATGGCTTGCTGCTGCTGCTTTCCAGCTGCACAGGGCTGGTGGTTAAGTGGTTGGTGAACACCAGCCCCTGTCCCATCAATGGTCACAAAGCTAGGGAGATAAAGTCCACCAGCTCTGCCCTCACGACCGAGAGCTGTTCTGCAGGTGGGTGTTTTCTAAATGCTCTGGACCGGGGTATTTTAACCAGCGGGCAGCATCCTGGCATGGAGCAGGGTCTGGGTCACCCGAGGGTCCCCGTGGCTAGGAGGAGGGGGTGCTGTGCAGCCCCTCCATTCTACATTGCCCATCCGAGGGCACGAAGAGACCAGGATGTGACCCCTGTGGATCCCTGCAATGGGCTCAGGTCCTGGCGAGGGCAAGCGCTCAATCGGTCCCCTTCCCTTCCTGGGAATAGGGTGCAGGATCTGGGTTATTCTTGGACTCAAATCCCAAGCTTTACTCAAATGGCCTTGACCTGTGAGGCTGCTAAAAAATCCCCCGTGTGATGTCCCAGCCCCAAGCTCCCATCTGCGAGAGCAGGAGCCATCAGGCTCAGATCGCTGCAATTTGTGAAGCTTTTCGTGCCGGGAAGCTTTTCCCGGTCCAACGGAGGAGCCTGACAAACTCCCCGAGCTTTGCGTCTGATTGCAACGGACAGGTTTTAGCTCCCAGAATATAAAAACCTTTTGCAAAACACTAACCTCAGCTAAGGGGAAAGGGAAGGAAAGGGGAGAAAAGAGCTGATTTCAGCAGCTGCAGTTTGCTGTATTTTTCATCTTGCATCAGCAAGTCAGGAACACAAATAATCTGGTCTTATATGCTTCAGTGATGCTGGTGCTGAAGAATTTCCCAGCCTCCACCGGCTCTAGCTCCTCAGCATCCGAAAGCAGGGTGATGTTTCATTCACCTGAATTTTCTCCCCATTTTCAGTATATTTGTGGCTGGGAAGGGGGATGGATCCCACCCGGCTCCTCGCAGGACCCCCGTGCCTGCGTGCATTGCTGCGGTGCATTTCTGCAGAGCAGAAACCATCTCTTTTTGGCTGCTAATTCAGGAGAGGTACCCGGGGGAAGGGAAGCCTTGCTTCATCACCCGAGGACCCACGGGGGAGGCTTGGCTTGGGGTGTGTGCATGGGAAAGGAGGGATCCAGGCTGGCTTGGTGTTGATTAAACACCAAAAATGGGAACAAAACACTGCTTTTATTTATTTATTTATTTATTTTTTAAAATCCATGTCCTCGTCTTCACGCCCTTTGTTTAGCTCAGACAAAATGCCATCTATAATGGATGTTTCCTTGATAAACAGCGGAGCGGCAGGTCACATTTCTCATTATACCGGGTAATG